TGATGTGCCTCTCTCTCTTTCCTTTGCTTTCCTCTGTGTGTGCCTGTCTTTGGGTGTAGTCTGCCGCTGGCATGTCGTGCGCCCCGGCGTGTTCGCCTTCTTTTTGGCGACCGCAGAGGCGCCGGGGGTAAAATGCGGAGCCCCAACCGCTGCTGCTCTGCCGCGTGTTGCTGCGGAGTGGACTCGTGCGGCGTGGCGCACTGGCGGGTTGACGGTTGGGCCGACTGCGGGGACCGTGGCGGCTGCGGCGGCCCGTGCCCGGACTCTGGCGGCGCCCGACGGGCGGAAGGAGCGATTTATGTGCGTGCGGTATTTTAATTTAACTTTTTTTTCTTTGGCTTTTCCCCCTTCCACTTCTCCCGGCGCTGCGCCCGCACGGTTTGCGCCTGCGCCTTGTGCGTTTGGGTGTCTGTTTGTGTGTGTAACGCGTGTCTCTCTCTGCTCCGCTGCCTTGCGGCTGTCTCTCTCTTTGGCCGCCGGTGTCTGTGCGGGAAAAGAAAAGCGCCAAAAGCAAATGCTCCTGGCGGGGTTCGAACCCGCGACATTCGGTTCATAAGACCAACGTCCTAACCAACTAGACCACAGGAGCACGCCGAAGCACAGGCCTTTAAAGGCGCGTGGGAACTGTTTATCTTCATTTGCACCTCTTCTTCGCTATCCGCCGGGCGGCGGTGGTCCTATAGTGTAGTGGTTATCACTTCGGACTTTGAATCCGAAAACCCAGGTTCGAATCCTGGTAGGACCACGTTTTCCGTCTCTTCGAAAGAAATTAGAAAAAACCTATAAAAGCCGCTGATGAAAGGAGGCCGCGTGCGGCGTGGGTGATCTAGTGGTTATGATGTCTGCTTTACACGCAGAAAGTCGCGGGTTCGAACCCCGCCCCGCGTACTTCTTTCGTGGGGGGAAGAAGAAGGCTTCTTTTTTTCTCTCTCTTCCAAAAGAGACAAAACAAAGAAGTAAAGAAAGAAACGGGGTCCGTGAAGTTTCGAACACGTCACCTTTCCGGTTCAAAAAGCAGGAGTTCCAAAGGTGGGGAGCCTTGCGGAGTACAACTGGGCCACGGCGAAAACCGCGGGGGCGGCGATCGTTGGGGATGGATGCGAATCTGTATTTATTGCTAAAATCCTCTTTTTGGTGACGCGAGTCGAGGGCGGAGGCGGCGGGGTTAGCCGGAGTGTCCAGTTGACTCTGTAACCTCCTTGCATGCGGGAGGGGCTGGGGTGTCCGAGCGGCGGGGGTGTGGACCAGCGAGAGTTCTGCTGCGTTGACTTGGTGTTCTGCTTGGCCGTGCGTCGGTTCCATCGCGAGGGCGCCACTGTAGAGAGGCGTCCTCGAGCCGTTAAAGCTGAGGAAACGGGTCAGGCCGGAGACGGAGCAACCCACCTCGCGCGCGTCGCCGTTGCAGAAGCACACCGAGGAGCAAGTCAGATCTCTTTAGCCCCACACGTCGTCGCGAGGCGACCCCTTTTTCCTTTTTCTTTCTCTCTCCTCTCCATTTCTTCCTTACATACCGCCGAAACAGGAAGAAAAAAAACACGCCACCTGCCTGGCGAAAAGCCGATCCCGGCAGGACTCGAACCTGCAACCCTCAGATCCGAAGTCTGATGCGCTTCCATTGCGCCACGAGATCAACGCGGTCACCGTGGTTCCGCACACCACCAGTGCGCTCCCTTTTGCTCCAGCAACTCCCGCCGGATATTTCCTCCCCCGCGGCGTGGCCTCGTAGCACAGTGGCAGTGCACTGGTCTTGTAAACCAGGGGTCCCGAGTTCAATTCTCGGCGGGGCCTATCCCTCTTTTCCGCGCCTTGACTTATATGTTTCTTTGTTTTGTTTTTCATTCGTGTGCATCAAAGCTTTTTCTGAAAATACTTCTCCTTGACGGGCGCGCTAGGGCGCACACGTGGCAAGATGGTCGAGTGGTCTAAGACGTGACGTTCAGGTCGTCATCTCTCCGGAGGCGTGGGTTCAAACCCCACTCTTGTCAGGTTTTTCCAAAGTCCCGCAACACTACTTTCCTTTTTTTTGTTCACGCAAACTTCTTCCGTACGGGGGAAAAAGTTTGTTCTCGAAGGGGAAAAGGGCTGCAATCGCCGGGAGTCGAACCCGGGTCACCCGCTTGGAAGGCGGGGATCTTAACCGTTGGACCACGATTGCTGCGTCCCCCGCTGTGAAGTGTGTATATAGCAACGCCTGATGTATTTCTTCTCTTTCCGTCTTCAAGAAAAAAAATAATAGTAAAAAGAGCTCTTCCTTTCTGTTTTGAACTCGTGGATGTAAATAAATTTCTTGCGGCGTTGTATGTGACGTCTGAGCCATTGTGAAAAGGACGCGCACACAAAAATATTTTGGTCACATTTTTTTCATTAAATATGAAGTACACATTCTTTGGCACCACCACTACTTTTCGTGTTGCGGCGGGGCAACTCACCTGCAATGCGTCATCAAGAAAGCGCTAAGTTCGCAGTAAATTTTGCGATTGGGCGCGCACGTAAAAGTGAAGCAGCCCTTCTTTTTTTTTCTTACTGTCAGCTGTTCTCTTTGGTTAAAGTAAAAAGAAAAAAAATAAAGCCACA